CCTATAGAGACAAGCAGATGGAATGTCACCGTCACCCACCTGCCCCGGCCTCCAGGTAGGCTCCTGAGGGTACCCCTTTCTTCTCATCACCTCTGCACATCCCCAGGGTCACTCCATGCACCTTCTATGGGTGACAGATGTGGCCCTAGGGGGCGCATCTCGAAAAGCTGTTTAGCCCATTCCTCCCTGATCAGACGTGGCAGAGCCAAAGGACTCCTTCCCTGCCCAGTATGATGCCAAGTGTCCCGTTGGTCTTCTTTTCAGGCCCCACAGGGTCCAGTCTGAGAATTTCTACCTTCATGGCCCATGTCCTGCGAGACCCAACCTCGTCTCGTCCAGGCCCAAACTCTTAAAATGAAACCTGGTAGATTTTAGATCCTTCTCATGGACCGGGCCCTGGGATGCGCGTGCCCTCAGCCTGCACTCAGTTTTGGAAGGTGGGAGCTGTTGGGGGTGGCATGGGGGGTTTGGGCACTGCTTTTAAAGGACCGAGTCTGGAAGTGAGGCATGGTGGGTTGGAGTGCAGCCCTGACCCTGGGGGAGCCTCAGGAAGTGCCCAGCGCTTAGGTGGGAAAAGGTTGGGACATGAGGGGTCAGTGCTGGGTGGCTGGTCGCTAATTACCAATGCTCCTATAGTTGTTGTTATTATTACTGCAGGGGCCTTCAAACTAAGTCAGCCCTTGATGGTTCTTGGAATGGAGAGCAGAGGGGTAAGGAGAGGCTGGCTGATTGCTCACAGAATTAATCTGGAACATTCCATGGGCTCCTTCCTGCCCACTTCTGTCTATGGGGCAGTTGAGTCCTTTGCACCATTAGCAGCCACGGCCGTCCCATGGTCTGTGTCCTCATGTGGCCATGAGTGTTCCAGAGTAAGGGTGACACTGACCAGCACTTCTGCTGGAGAGCCACTGGACAGGGTGGTGGGAGAATGGGGGATGTGCTTGTAGATTCCCCGGGTCAGTGGCCCTGCTCTCTTCAAAGGCCCCTTCACCAGAGGAGGGAGCAGGAAAGCTCCTCTGGGGTCAGAAGGCATCCAGTGGTATGGCACAGGAGAGACGGGCCCCCAGCTGCCCCCCAGGTCTGTGCTTCCTCATGCCCCTTGTAAATGAGAGTTGAAAAGTTAACTCACTAAAAAAAAAGATCCAATGAGTGAAAACAACATGGTAGAATCATAAAATAGCCAAAGAACATCAACTTCCCAGGATTAATAAACTGGAAGAGTATATGATGAAAGTGTAAATCCTACAAAAGGGCGGGGGCCCCGTTGGCAGAAGGCTGAGGGATGGAGCACAAGGACCATGGAGCTGGTGGAGGGAGGGCCTCGGGAGAGGCCCTGCCCGCCCCTCTGTGGGATGGCAGCTGGACTGAGCATGTTGGAGGGCGAGGAGGGAGCCAGGGGGAGATGGGAGGTGGCCGACCTCGGGAAACTCTCCTGTCCCCTGGAATCCCTCAGACAGAAACCCTAATACCATCTGCGCCTCTCATTGTTCTCTGCCCCCCTTTATACTTTTTAACATTTAAAAAAAAATAAAAGTAACAATTAGCAGAGCCCTTCCCACATTCCTGCCCCAGGCTGGGCCCTGCCCTTCAAGGCTCCCTAACTTCCAGGGACTGGCTTGTGGCTGCCAGGCCCTCCCTGAAGGTTTGCTTTCAAAAAAAATCCACTGTTAACATTCTATTTTATTCCAGAAACGGTGTGAAATGGCTAATTCATGTCTATTGAACTGAAAACATTGAAGAAGATTTTGAAAATAGAGATATTTATCAAGAGCCACTTCACTCAACACATAACCCATGCATTCATTATCTAGGGAAAAAAAGCACTATTAACATTCTCTTAAAAGGATTTTTCCATTGTATTGTGAATACAGTTGTGTCTTCTGCTTTTTTCATTTAATGACTTTCCGCATGTCGTTAAAAAGCATTAAAGCATACTTTTTAATGTTTGAATAATATTGCATCATAGGAATAAACCACAAATCACTTACCCCTTCTTGTTGAAGATTTAGACTGTGGCAAATTTTATATGGAATAATACTATAAAGGACATCTTTGTGCGTAAAGCTTTTTCTGTATTTCACGTCATCTTCTTAGGCTATACTTCCAAAAGTAAAACTATTGGGCCAAAGGGTATAAGCATTTAAAATTTCTCTTCTTTCGCTCTCCTTCATTGAGGTTCTCTCACTTATACACCACGCCTGGTGCCTAGGGGGTGTTCTGAATCCCTGATACAGAATGACTTTGGGTCATTAATTGATTCAGCATTTACTGGATTGAGAAGCTAATGAGACAAAGGACAGAAACTTGGTCCTGACAGGGGCAAAGTGGAAAGACCCGAACTGGGAGTCAGGTGGCCCGAGTTGGAGTCCTGTGTCCATTGTTTGATTTCTGTGTAACCTCAGGGAAGTCAGTCAGCTCCTCCAACACTCAGTTTTCTCCTCTTCAAAGTAGGAGTTTCAGTGATGCTGCCTTGAAGGGTTGTGGGGGTTAGAATGAGGCGATGAAGTGAAGTGCCCAGCCCTGTGGCAGGCGGAGCTCAGCAGCGCGAGGTGAATGCCAGTTCACAGTGTGACTAGGACAGACAGGTAAACATCTCTTAATTCTGTGGGGAATGGTGCATTCTGTGAGGGGATTAAGAGGCGTCATCACGGAGATGACATCGGAGCCTCCTCTTGAGGATAAGCAGTGCTCACTAGGCGGAGGGAGGAGGTCGAGGTGCTGCCTGTGACCAGGTGGACAGAACGATCGGGGCACCCCGAGGGCTGGACACATGGCGGGGAGGGAGGGTCCATGTGAGGATCAGCAGCTCCCGTGCAGGACATGGAACTTAAAGATTGTAACTCAGGAATTGCTTCCAGCAGAACCTCCAGGCCAGCTTGAAGGGAGGACATTGCAGGACAAGGAGAGGGAAGGGGCCCAGCCGGAAGGCTGTTCCAATGTCCAGTGTGAGGCCTTTGGGGCCCCAGTTATTGGGAGCAGGGACAGTGGTGGATAGAGGACTTGAGAATGGGGAGGCATTGAGGATAACTGCCCTGTTTCTGGCGTGGACAACTTGTTTGGGGGTAATTCAGTAACAGCTGAGTTAGGAGATTCCTGACTCAGGAGGAGGAAGTGTGCTGTCATTTGGGGAGGGGGCGGTGCTGGAGAGGGCGGAGGAAATCATCTTGTTTGCACTTGGGAGATCTGTGGACCACCCACATCATGATAGATTCGTGTCATAATAACTGGAGTGCCTTCTTTGTGCCGGACATGGGGCAGGCTCTGCAAACGGAGGGCAACACGGCCTTCCCTGACGGGGCAGGAGAGGCGTGGCCTGTCGGCTGGTTGTAGGGTGGACAGGGACCCAGTGGTCACAGGATGCACGGGAGGACTCGTGGAAGGAGTTAAGATGGGCCAGAAAGAGGCTGCAGTGGGGATAGGAAGAGCGACAAGGACCAGACAGAGGAAGCCAGCGCTCCCGCCCTGTGGACAGTGGGTCAACCTTTGCCCCTCCCAGGGGTGTGGCTGCGTCCCCTCCCACAGGGACGTTTGGAAGGCGGGCATGCTCAACCCCTCAACCCGGGACAGGGAAAGCCGGCAGGATCCCAGCCTTCCCCGCAGGGCACATTGGGTTCCCCTCCTTTCTGAAATTGTCCCCCCCGAACCCCCTCACTCGCTGCCTGCCCCCCCTGCTCCGTTCCTCCACTGGGACCTGAGCTCTGGGAGGGCAGGCAGGTTAGGGGCCCCTCCCTCTCGCACCCTCACCCCCTTGAAAACAGTGGACATGGGTATCCAAGTGAGAGGATGGCTCGCTGAAACCAGCATCCTCTTAGGAAGGCTTTCTCGTGCAGGAGGCTGGGGTTTGCTCCGTGTGGTTCTGCCTGACGCCAGTAGTATTTGTTGCACTGGGGCTGTGGGGTTGTCAACGAGGTGCATGTTACCTCAACCTGGGGACTTCCTTGGTGTAGACTGTACTGTGTCAGGAGGAGGATGGGCCCGGGATGGAGCATGGTCTGATGACACTCCACTGGGACATGGACAGTGCACGCAGATGCTGACTAAATCATGTCTATGCCATTTCAGGCCCCGAGATGCCGCCTCTGAGGGGAGCACCAGTGGGTGCTAAACAAACCCTAGAGCACGACAAGTTTCCCATTTCTGTGTTTCCAGAGTTGAGATGAAAGTCATTTATTTATTCAGCACACACTGCCGGGTGCCTACTGTGAGGTAGACTCTGGGAGGCCTTGTTTTAGTCCCATGAGGGAGACAGACCAGCCACAGGCAACTATAGTATGGGGCAGACACATGCAGGCAACGGACCCTTCCCAGCTGAGCCCAAGTGGTCCAGATAAAATGTTTCCTTTAAATTAGTTTTAATTAATTGCTGGGGCATAAATCTTCCTTTCATAAAAATGGATCGACTAAGTCTATTAGGCAGCTTCCTCCAGTTGAGCCTAGTATATGGAACTGCCTGAGGGCGCACTGTGGAGTGTGCCTTGGGACAGCTTGCAGTCAGGCCAGCACCTTGTGGGACCTGTCACCTCCATCTTCAGATGAGCTCTGCCCTGCCTAGGATGCCCTGTGGCCTTAAATGTCACCATCAGAATCCACAGAGGTGGACCTTGCTTAGGTGCACTCAGGCCAGGCTGGCTTAGAGGTGGCGAGTGTGGCCAGTGCTTCTGAAGGGGGCCCTAGGGCTGAGGATCCAAGCTGTGAGCCCTCAGAACCCTGGACCCTCCTAAGTAGACCTTTAATAATTATGGACAAAATGAAAATGTGGTTGAACTTGGCAATCATTTTTTAATTTTATGAGCTTTACATTTTACAGGAGGGTCGTAAGATTATCTAGAGCATTATCCAGATGCCGACGCCTGTAGTTAAACCTGAGGTCTCACGCTATTGATTATTTTTCATGTGAGCAGCACAGTATTAACGGAACTGTAATTCCCAGCTTTGTTAGTGGACTGCTGTTCTGCATTCAGCTGTGAAACAGACGTGAACACACATGCTCAGATTGCTCGATGCCGTCACCAGATGTGGGAATGGGTCCGTGTGCAGGAATTCGGGAGGGTGCGGCTGAAAGAGCCTCTCCAAGTGACCAATTCTGTTGTCATTCACCACACGTGCGTGCGTGCGTGAGTGTGCACGTTGCTCACGGTGCCCGTGCATGCACGTGCTCAGGAGGACTTGCCTCACCTGAATCTGAACACCTCCGTGTGCAGGTGCTGATCCTCTCATGTCACTTCCCTGGCCCCGGCCTCCACTCTTCAGCAGCAAGATGTTCTGTCTCTCTTCTCAGCCATTCCTGAAAACGCCTGTGCTCTTTGCCACATTCCCTCAGGATCTGGCTCTGATAATGTGATAATGAGTGATCATATTTAATGAGACACCCCTCTCAGGTTGTATCAGTGCATTTTAATAGGGGCTTTCCGGGAAATATCTTAACCCCAAATTTCCCAAGTAGTTGATGGAACACTAGTTCAGCTAGTTGTTCCTTCAAAAAGAATAAAAAATAAATAAAAGTACATTGGTCAAATAAGTTAAGGGGTGGTGCGCGCAGTTTTCTTCGCTTGGGAGTTAACAAGACATGTCATGTATTAAAGGATCTCAAATGTCTTACGGTAAAACAGTCAGGTGTCCTCTAATGATCTAGATGCCCTCCAACCCTCATTCCTGTGACAGCTGTCAATATCCCGTAGTTTCCTCCTAGAAATGCTGCCTCCACCCAGGACGTCCTCTGCTGTGCATTGGTGGCCTGAAGGAGGCCGTCATAGCATGTGCTATTGGTCTTGATAAATTTAAAAACATTTTTATTGTGGTAAAATATTTATAACATAAAAGTACCATTTCTGAGTGGATGGTTCAGTGGCATTAAGTACATTCATATTGTTGTGCAACCATCATTATCCATCTCCAGAACTTTTTCATCTTCTCAAATTGAAACTCTGTCCCCATTAAACACTAACTCTCCATTCCCCCTCCTTCCTCCCCTGGAAACCACCACGCTACTCTCTTCTCTGTGAATTTGACTACTTACAGGTAGCTCATATAAGCAGAATCATACAATATGTGTCCTTTTATGTCTGGCCTATTTCACTCAGCATAGTGTATTGCAGGTTCATCCATGTTGTAGCAGGTGTCAGAATTACCTTCCTTTTTAAGGCTGAATAATATCGCATTGTACATATACACATACTTTGTTCACCTCCTCTTCCATCAATGGACATTTGGGTTGTTTCTGCCTTTTGGCTCTTGTGAATAATGCCGCTTTGTACAACCCGTAGCCCTTTGACACCTGTTTGGTGTCCCCACGCAGGTGACTTCTGCTCCGTCCAGGCAGGGGGCTGGTGGTATAGTGTTTTGTTCTTTTTTTTTAGTGAAGACTAGAGTATTTTTATTGCTTGTCTTGGAGGAGTGTTTTTATTTATGGAAACCATAGAACGCTGACTGTGGGGTATCTTGCCCTAAAAATTGACAGCCAGGTTCCACCAGATGGGAAGGCATGAGGGACTCATGCGTCATGTAGGAAAGGAAGAGCCTGCAGGAGGAGGTGGCAGGGCTCCCTTCTCTTCCTGCTGCAGCGACCAAACGGATGTCTTTAGGAAGGGGGCAGATACTGGCCCTTTAGCTGAGGCTTCTTCGCTGAAATCTATGCACTTAGGAGGAAGAAGTTGTCCTGGTCGACCACCAATTTCTGTTGGGTTGCAGAGCGGGTACTTGTATAAAGCGTGGGTAGCTTTGTAGCCTGGGAGCTCGGCTGAGAAACATCTTTTTAAGGCTCACCTAACTGCTGGGGAGGCCGTGTCCTTGAAGATGATTTACTTCTCCTCACTGTGTTTCATTTTTCTCTCCTAGCTTATGTTCCTGAGGAAGAATTGAAGGCAGCAGAAATAGATGAAGAAAACGTGGAGGAGGATGGACTGTCTCTGGGCATTCAGGAGGGCGACTACGTGTGCAATGAAGAGACGGAGATCAAAGAGGCCCAGAGCTGCCAGAACTCCCCGGTCAGCACTGCGACGAATCAGGATGCCGGCTACGGGTCGCCTTTCAGCGAAAACAGCGACCAGCTAGCCCATTTCAAAAGCTCTTCCTCCAGAGAAGAGAAGGAGGATCCGCAGGGTCCAGACAGCGTCTCCTACCCCCAGGACAGCTTGGCACAAATCAAGGCTGTGTATGCAAACTTATTCTCGGAGTCCTGCTGGTCCAGCTTAGCTCTGGATTTAAAGAAGTCCAGTTCGACCACCAGCAACAATGATGTCGGCCAGAAGGAGGGCTCCACCCCCGCCCCCACGCCCCCCACCAGTACCACGGGGACCACCGGGACCACGGCGAGCACCCCCAGCTCCAGCTCCGGCTCTGGCTCCAGCTCCAGCACCAGCACCAGCACCAGCACCAGTGGCAGCGGCGGCTCGGGCTATGACTGGCATCAGGCCGCCCTGGCCAAGACGCTGCAGCAGACGTCGCCCTACGGGCTGCTCCCCGAGCCCAGCCTCTTCAGCACCGTGCAGCTCTACAGGCAGAACAACAAACTCTACGGCTCTGTGTTCACCGGCGCCAGCAAGTTCCGGTGCAAAGACTGCAGCGCCGCCTACGACACGCTGGTGGAGCTGACGGTGCACATGAACGAGACGGGCCACTACCGCGACGACAACAGGGACAAGGACTCCGAGAAGACCAAGCGGTGGTCCAAGCCCAGGAAGCGCTCCCTGATGGAGATGGAAGGGAAGGAAGACGCCCAGAAAGTGCTCAAGTGCATGTACTGCGGCCACTCTTTCGAGTCGTTGCAAGACCTGAGCGTCCACATGATCAAGACAAAGCATTACCAGAAAGTGCCTCTGAAGGAGCCAGTACCAGCCATCACCAAACTGGTCCCTTCTACCAAAAAGCGAGCACTCCAGGACCTGGCGTCCCCTTGTTCTCCCGAGCCGGCAGGAATTGCTGCAGAAGCTGCGCTCAGTGAGTCGGCCAAGGATCAGAAGACCGCCAACCCGTATGTGACGCCAAACAACCGCTACGGCTACCAGAACGGTGCCAGTTACACCTGGCAGTTCGAGGCCCGTAAAGCGCAGATCCTCAAGTGCATGGAGTGCGGCAGCTCGCATGACACCTTGCAGCAGCTCACCGCCCACATGATGGTCACTGGCCACTTCTTGAAAGTGACCACCTCTGCCTCCAAGAAAGGGAAGCAGCTGGTGCTGGACCCCGTGGTGGAAGAGAAGATCCAGTCCATACCTTTGCCCCCCACCACGCACACCCGGCTCCCCGCCTCCCACATCAAAAAGCAGCCTGACTCTCCTTCGGGGTCCACGACCTCGGAAGAGAAGAAGGATCCAGAGAAGGAGAAGGCACCGGTGGCCAGTGATGCAGAGAAGAAGATCAAGGAGGAGAGTGAGGATGCCTCCGAGAAGTTTGAGCCCACCACCCTCTATCAGTACCTCCGTGAGGAGGACCTGGACGACAGCCCCAAGGGGGGGGTGGACATTCTGAAGTCCCTGGAGAACACGGTCTCCACTGCCATCAGCAAAGCCCAGAATGGCGCACCCTCGTGGGGTGGCTACCCCAGCATCCATGCAGCCTACCAGCTCCCTGGCACCGTGAAGCCGCTGCCGGCTGTGCAGAGTGTGCAGATGCAGCCATCCTATGCCAGCAGTGTGAAGTCCCTGTCCTCAGAGCACAACGCGCTCCTGCACTCTCCAGGGAGCCTCACACCGCCGCCCCACAAGAGCAATGTGTCGGCCATGGAGGAGCTGGTGGAGAAGGTCACCGGCAAGGTCAGCGTGAAGAAGGAGGAGAGGCCTGCAGAGAAGGAGAAGGGCTCCCCGGCCAAGGCTGTGTCCCCCGTGGCCAAAGAGAATAAGGATTTCCCTAGAACGGAGGAAATCAGTGGCAAACCACAGCAGAAGAAGGGCCCTGACGTGGAGGTGGGGAAGGCCAAAAGGGAGGGCGCGGTGGACGCCCACACCCCAAATGGCACCGAGCCTCTCAAAGCCAAAGTCACCAATGGCTGCAATACCCTGGGGATCATCACGGACCACTCGCCGGAGCCCTCCTTCATCAGCCCGCTGAGCGCGTTGCAGTCCATCATGAACACCCACTTAGGCAAAGTGTCGAAGCCTGTGAGCCCCTCGCTGGACCCGCTGGCCATGCTGTACAAAATCAGCAACAGCATGCTAGACAATCCCGTCTACCCCGCCACCCCCGTCAAGCAGGCCGACGCCATCGACCGCTACTATTACGAGAACAGCGACCAGCCCATCGACCTGACCAAGTCCAAAAGCAAGCCCCTGGTGTCCGGCGCGGCCGACGCCGTCTCGTCGCCTCTCCGGGAGAGCGCCCTCATGGACATCTCGGACATGGTCAAAAACCTCACGGGCCGGCTGACCCCCAAGTCCTCCACGCCCTCCACGGTGTCGGAGAAGTCGGACGCCGACGGCAGCAGCTTTGAGGAGGCCCTGGATGAGCTGTCACCTGTTCACAAGAGGAAGGGCCGACAGTCCAACTGGAACCCCCAGCACCTGCTCATCCTGCAGGCACAGTTCGCCTCGAGCCTGCGGGAGACCCCAGAAGGTAAGTACATCATGTCGGACCTGGGCCCTCAGGAGCGGGTGCACATCTCCAAGTTTACCGGGCTCTCCATGACCACCATCAGCCACTGGCTGGCCAACGTGAAGTACCAGCTGAGGAGGACCGGGGGGACGAAGTTCCTGAAGAACCTGGACACGGGGCATCCTGTTTTCTTCTGCAACGATTGTGCCTCTCAGTTCAGAACTGCCTCCACGTACATAAATCATCTAGAGACACATTTAGGCTTCAGCTTGAAGGATCTCTCCAAGCTGCCACTAAATCAGATTCAAGAACAGCAGAATGTTTCAAAGGTCCTGGCTAACAAAGCTCTGGGCCCCGTGGGGGCCACCGAGGACGACCTGGGCTCCACATTCCAGTGTAAGCTCTGCAACCGGACCTTTGCGAGCAAGCACGCGGTGAAACTGCACCTTAGTAAGACCCACGGCAAGTCCCCGGAGGACCACCTGATCTATGTGACAGAATTGGAAAAACAGTAGCGTCCAGGTACGCAAGGGACCCCGGCACATTGCACTAACCACGTCCTACTGCACTAGGCCTGGCCTGAGCCTCCGAAATCAGCCTTTCCTTGGTTGCCGAACTGCCTGTCTGGACCTTGGTTTTTCTTACGCATATTTTGTAGTTATATTTATATGCTCTTTGTCCGATTGTGCATGTTATTTTTCTTTTTCCGTGAGTCAAAGTCTGACCTTTATTTTCAACATCTGTTCTTGATGTTAAGCTATCTTTTGTAGGAAATAGTGGGGCACACGACTGGGAGACATTTATTTAGCAAGAAAGAGAGACACAAATAACAATGACAAAAAGACATCCTAAAATTACAAAGTTGCCATGACAATAAAGGTCATAGAACCTAGTAGTGTTGAATTTAACACTTTGAGGACTGTAATCGCATTTCTGTGCCTTTCACTCAAAAAAAAAAAAAAAAAAGGAAATAAAGGCTTAAAGGCATTTCATTCAGATCAAAAGCTGTGTCAGACACAAAACTTATTTAATAATTAAAAAATGAGCTTTTATATGCAGAACTGGTTTGTGAAGGAAACATGCATGCAGCTGTTGGAAGACAGAAAGTTGTCTAGGACTCGCGGGGTTAGGAAGCCACAACTTTACACGTTTAAAACAAAAAGCAAAACAAAAAAACCCAACAACAACAAACACCCCATTTGCCACTATGCCCAAACCCTCTGGATGCTGAAAAATGCCACTTTTGGCAAAAAAAAAAAGTATGCAAGCTATTATTTAAAAATGTGTAAAAATGCTATTTCCTTTTTCCTGTAAAATACTGCGGTTTATAGTTATTTACAAATGTAAGCTTTGGTACAAGCTGACCTTTCTATAGCGTGCTGCATTGGTAAATGAAAAAAAATCGGGCACACGTCGGAGTCCTTTCCTTGTAAATTGCCAGCATCAGCTTAAAAACTCCTACATGTTACATATCGTACCATTTTAATCTATTCAACTTTCTTTGTACCTTCTGGCTGTATGCTTTCTCTTTTAACTTTTTATATTGTCATTTTATATTAAATTTCTGTGTACATAATGTAAAACCACAATTTTTGAATAAAATTTAGTTCCTGCAGCTTGATTTAAATAGAGAAATTTTACTGGCACCTGCATCTTTCCAGATGCATGTATATCAGACAAAAATAAATAAATGAAACAAAGCAAGCAATGCACTATTAATTATACGTTTTGATGTTCTATCATTAATATTGTACAGTACGTTTTGGTTCACACAATTAAATCCACTGTTTTCTCAAATGTAAAATAAACCCACGTGCAGTTCTTGATTTACGTAGATTGTCACGTCGTCATTATTTTGCCTTTGAGATGTTATTTCAGCAACAAGAGGTATTGCTGATGCAATCAACCAACAAAAATTCTATTCAGAGCCATCATCTCATGATTTGTGTGCTGACATGCTTCATTCAAATGATAAGTATTGCATTTTTAAGAATGATAATTAAAATTTTTAACTCCACTGGGTGCCATGGATTGCTGAGCGTAGCCATTGAGTGACGGCTGTTCTGTACATAGAGGGACCGAGGTGCTTCCTTCCCAGAATCCTCATGGACTATTTTAAAATGTGTACAATCAGCCGTTGTGTGCACCCGGGGAGTTAGTGATGCAGGTAGGAGGGTAGGTCTTGCTCCAGCAGCAAAGACCCCGGGGGCCTCAGAACCGGGTCTGCATTGATCCAAAGAGGAACTCCTGCTTTCTGCACTTTTTAAAATGTACAACTTTTAAAAAGTGAGCCGCTCTCTGATTCCGTGCTGGGTCCAGTCTGGCATCTGCAGGTACCTCTGGGGCTTCGAGGGGCTCGACTGAGGAGACCACTGGGACTCTCGGCCTGTGAGTGTCACGACCCCGACCCCCGAGGTCCAGTCTCACTGCTTCAGTCAGTGTGAGGGACACACGACATCAGGCCGGCCCCTTCGCCCCCAGAACTACCTAATGACGTGGGCAGGAAAGTGACTTTCCACCTTTCACTTACACTCTCATAAAATTATGTCCTGAGAAGGGTTAGAACTTACAGCGCGCTGTTCAGAAGCGGCTAAGCCACTGTGCTACTTGCACGCTCCCCCGAGTGGCCTGTGCCCTGTCCCGGTGACGGCGGCAGGAGGAGGGCAGGGCGCTCGGCGTGTTCCCCGGGCTCTGGACTCCGCACTCACCGGCCGAGCGCCGGGGAGGCGGACTGCAGGTTTCTGGCTTTTTCATTGGTGAATAGCTCTGTCCGTCAGGAGCTTCGGCCATTTAGACATCGCGGTTCAATTACTGGGTGAGGATGCACTTTGGGCTCAAGGGGTGACGGAGAAGAATAACAATTAGGCCTGTGGCTGAGCTCGGGGTCTTTGCATAGTAACGCTTTAAAGTCATATTTATTTTACCACAGGCCCGCAAATATATGGTTGTGTGACTTCACCCTCCTGGGAACAGAGTCAGAAGCACAGGTGAAGCGGTGTGATGGGAGGTGGGGGCGGCTGGGTTCAGTCCATGTGTCGCTGCTAAGGATTTGAAAGTTGCTTGCAGCCTGAGTTCCGACCCCTGGGGCTTGGGCAGAGAATTCTGGTCTCCGTTTCTTAATTTTTTCTTTTTCTGATTCATCAGCCACACTGCTAACTTGTCATCGACCCTAGTTCCCTGACCAATAGATAGAAGACTAGGTTGGTCATCTTACGACTACTAATGAAGATGGTGATGCTGGTTATATTTATGGAGCACTTATTGCGTGCGGAGGCTGTCCTGAGTGCTCCACACACACTAACTCACGCAGGCCTCGGCTGTATGCAGAGGGCCCTGTTACTTCCACCTTGGAGCACAGCACAGAGACTTGCCCACGGTCACACGGCTGGTAATTGACAGAACGTGGGCTCTGAGCCCCAGAGGCTTTGTTTAGGACGGAGCTCTTCATCACCCTCCTTTGCAGGCCCTGTGACCTGCCCCAGGTGTGATCTGCCCCAGGTGAGGGTGTGGCAACGAAGTGCCTAGGACATCTTCTATGGGCTGGGGACTAGAGCCTAGTGGTTTGGGTGATGCTGATGGACACTGACGTGGGCAACTGCCCTGAACAGACGTGCATTCTTCAGATCATCTCCAACTGTGGCCCACATCCCATGACAAAACGTGGCAGCTCCGTCTTCTCTTGGATCTGAAAAATAAGTTAAAATAATGTTTGTTATGAGTTTGTAGCAACTTCAATTGGATACGGGTCTACGCAGTAATGTGGAAACTCGATTGATATAAATACAGATAGAGAGATTTAGTAATCCAGGGAAGAGGTTGGATACCTCTCATTTGAGGGTTTGCTTTATTGACTTTTTTTTTTTTTGAGGAAGATTGGCCCTGAGCTAACATATGTTGCCAATCTTCCTCCTTTTTTTCTTTTTTTCTCCTCAAAGCCCCAGTAGATAGTTGTATGTCCTAGTTGTAGGTCCTTCTGGTTCTTCTGTGTGGGATGCCACCTCAGCATGGCTTGATGATCAGTGAACAGGTCCGCACCCAGCACCTGAACCAGCGAGCCCTGGGCCGCTGAAGTGGAACGCTCAAACTTAACTGCTATGCCATTGGGCCAGCCCCAGACATTTCCGCTTCCTTCATCCTCTCATTCATCTAGTCTTGTGTCCCCGGAATGGACTCCACACATCACGTTGTGTGCTCTCATTTCTCCGGAATCCTCCCTTAACCTAGGGGAGCAGGTCTGCGTCTTCTAGAGTGAGAGGGCGAATGGCCCTGAGCAACTGGAGAGAGCTGGCCACCTGCCCACCTGGTAGGAGGCTGTGCATCGCTGGGTGGAAGGCAAGTGACTTGCCGTCCAGTGTTTTCGGTCGGTTAGGCTAACGCTGTGCACGGGCACAAGTAACCCTGCTTTGCTTTCGTACGTGCGGCTTGAGCCTTGGGTTTAATAACTAATCAAATATTGTTTCAAGTGTGGAATTTTAAAAGGCTTGAGATATTCCTCGGAATGTGGGTTGGGTGAGGATGTTCGTTGTTATTTAGTCATTATTTAAAGAGATATAAAACCTGTGATAGACAAAAAACTATTGATAGACAATAGTTTAAGAGAAACAAACTTTTAGGCGTTATATGCAAAAAGAAGTGATTCAGAACTTTAAGATTTAATCCCTACATTTCTATATTTGGTAATCTTTAAAGAGCTGTTAACATTGGTCTAAGCATGTCTAAGCTACTTCCGAGTTTTCAGAAACCTGTTTGTGGAAATAAAGTTTTCTGCTTTTTCTAAGGGAAAGCTTCTTTTGCTTACTTGATTATTGTTTCTCTGAAGATTATGGAGACCATTGAAAACCAGTTATTGAACTGTGAACTTAAAAGATACCAAAGAGTAAAATTTGGAGAGCATTTGTACTTTTTACATAACTTTTATTCTTATAATAAAAGTAATACATAGTCATTGTAGAAAACTTGGAACACAAAAAAATAAAGCAGAAAATAAAAATTAACTGTAGTTTTCATCCAGAGAAAAATCACTCTTAATATTTTAGTGCTAACATCTTTTTTCTGTTTCTACAAAATAGAGATCACGCTCAACATACTTTTGTGTTTTGCTTTCTTTACCTGATGGTAGATAATGCGTATTTTCCCGTTTTATTAAATATCAAAAATTTCTAATCTTATTGAGTTGTACTATAATTTATTTAGTCAATTCTCTATTAGAATTTTAAAAAACATTTAGAGTCTTTTCGAGTTTTCACTATTTCAAATGAATACAAAGAACATGCCACTCAATATTTCTGATTATTTCCTTGGGACAAATACCTGGAATTGAAATTTCTGCATCATAGTGTGATTTGATACCTGTGCTCGCGCGGCCCACGAGAAGGCTTGTGCCGGCTTCCACCATCGGCATGAGTATGACCATTTCTCCACACCTTTTCTTTGTGAACTCAAGAATTGTTGTTTTTTTAGTTTCTGGCTATTTTCACTAATTGGCCAATGTAATCTCGATGTTTTAATTATAATATTTTTAATGTTTATTGTCCATTGATGTTATTTAAAGAAAAGATGGGTTAAGAACATGCATGATTTTTGGGGGTAGGTTTACGTGAATTATGATTTCATTTAAACTCAAGTGGCCAATATACATACTTTACAGACAACACAACAGAGAGGAGGAAAGAAGTTAACTGAAATCTGCAGCTCCAGGACCAGGACGTGACAGCTGTCTTCCAGTCCTCTTCTCTCAGTGTGGTCCACTATCCTGCAGCTCATTAAAATGTGCCCGAAGATGTCAAGTAAATAATGTACCAAGTACTGTCTTTAAATTGTCTGACTCGTAATAGGGAGAAAATTTCTGAATTCTGTGATTTCTATTGCTAACTCACAATTAGTATTGATTAGGAAAACAAAGATAATCTCAAAATTATTAAAAGTGGACCACCCTAGGAAGATGAGATTGATCACCTAGAGTGATTCCATAAAACACACACACTTGGATGAGAGTTAGAAGGAAAGAGAGAAGGACCACCTCAAAAGTCTATATCAGAAATCTCTCCTGCACGCAGGTTAGTTTGTTCCAGAGCTGGAGTGCTAAGGTATTGCTAACCAAGACCGTAATGTCTTGGACCCAGGTTTCTGATGGGAAAGCTATAAAGGTTATGAGGAAGGCATGTTACCTTGAGATCGATTAAGATCGGGAGGTTTTTGAGAGTACATCAGAGCAATAAGTGTTTTCACCAATGACTATTTAGAAATTGACCCATAACTAGTTAGTCATTATTTTTCTTAAATCACACATAAATATTTACAATTTGATCTGTGTAAAGTCTGTCTAATGATATGTTACAGGGTAATTGACTTCCACCAGTTGAAGAGATAGTAGAAGCAGTGGGCTTACATATGTCGTCACTTTTTGTTAAAATATTTGACATATGTCACACATCATATTTTTTTTTTACTGAGGTATAACTGACATGTAACATTATATTAGTTTCAGGTGTACAGCATAATGATTTGATATATGTATATGTTGCTAAATAATCATCACAGGGAGTCTAGTTGACATCCATCACCACACATAGTAACACTTTTTTTTTTCTTGTGATGAGAACTTTTAAGATCTACTCTCTTAGCAACTTTCAAATATACAATACAGTGTTATTAACTATGGTCATCATGCTGTACATGACATCCCTGGGACTTATTTATTTTATAATTGGAGTTTGTACCTCTGACCACCGTCACCCATTTCCCAGACTGCCAAACGCCCTGCCTCTGGTAAGCAATCTGTTCTCTCTTTGAGTTCAGTTTTTTTTTTTTTTTTTTAAGATTCTACATAT